CTCTATCCAATGGGGCGAACAAGAAGAGAAATCTTTTCAAGAACGCGTATTCGCGATTCATCGTTTTGGCAAGTGCGGTTGCCTTGTCGGGGATGGTGTCGAAAAGGAAGGTGTCGGCTTCACTTTCCAAGTTCGACTGGTCAGTTGTTCCGTGAAGAAGGGCGTGAAGGTTACCCAGAGTCTGGATTAATGACTGAGTGGCTCCGGCGGAAACCACGGGACGGCAAATTTCTAGACGATCAGTGGCATTATTAGAATGACTGGTGTTCGTGGAGCCTCGAAAGTCGAATCGGCATGGAGGACGGGTAGTATCACGTCTGGCTTCAGCTCGGCCGGGACGTCGAGCGTTCACTCAGGTCCTTGTACCGGGTCTATCCGTCACTGTATTGGACAGTAAGACGGCAGGAGGCGGGAAGACTTGACGCCTAGCTAGGGAGTGAAAAGTCAAGAGGCTGTAGAAGATGAAGAGGCTCGTCTCTCGCTGATACATGCCATAGAGCTAAGCAAGGCGGTCCGGAGGGGTAAGGAGGAAGGCCGTTCGGGCGGGCACGAGTATCCATGATGACTGGATGAGAGGCTATCAAGCCGCGTCGAGTTGTTTCGGATGATACATGGGTGATCATGGTGCGGTGTGACAGATGAACCAGGTGATGTCAAATCAAGCGCTGTGGTGCTACTTACGTTTCGCGCTCTTCATCGGCAGAGAAGCAACGAGCAGAATGACAACAATCCAGACTACACAAGCGACTACCGTCACCGAGTTTTCCGCCCGAGCAAAATCTTGTCATTCACAGAACTTGAAAATTCTAGAAAATAGCGGACTGGCATGGCCGGGCTGTGAAGATTGCATGATGGAGCCAGGGGCAAGCTTCACGAAGATATCCAACGAATGATCATAATCGTTGGGCAAAAGCTGAGCATTATGGGAAGAGGCGGCGGTCAATGTTGGGTAGTAACAAAAAAAAAAGGGTTACCTCTGGAGAGTTAACGAAGGTATTCAAGGAAGCTTAAGTGGTATTGGACGCCGTCGGTGAAAGACCTTCCAGTTCTCTGTTCGTAGTGTTGGAACCTGACAGGGCTTCGATCCCTATGATAATGGAGGATTGTTATGTGGGGAGGAGCGACCAAAAATGAAGAATGTGGTAAGGAAGGAGTCAGAATTGGCATGGCCAGGTTCCATGTGATGGATGCGGTGATAGAGCATGAACACAGAAAGGTGTCGCGAAAGACGACTGTAAGAATTTGAGGAGAGATGCGCAAAGAGCAAAGAATCATTGAAAAGAATTGATGTGATAAATGTTTACACACACTAGCCCACACTGGACTGAAGAGCGTCGCATAGCTCTACTGAATGGCCATTGAGGGATCAAAACTTGCGAACCCAGTTATTTGAGTCCCAAAACAGGTATGCACTGCTAATTTCATGTCATTAAAACGTTTCTGTTCCATCTTCATGTGTAATCCTTCCATATAATCAAAGCGCCGTCACTTCCAGTGGGAGCCATACACCAACCTGAAACCTACTTTTACATCGGAGCACCCCAAAGTGCGTTGATTTGCTTTCTCCGAACCTGAAAAGACAACCTGTTAGTTGATGTTTGCTTCCACTTATCACACAAGGTTTTTGCTTACCATCGGGCTCAAAATCATCACACCAGCCGTAATCGCCAATACAGTTCCAATAAGAGTGACCTTGTTGAAGCCCTTGCCGAGAATGTCAAATAAGAAGCTCGGCGCTACCCTCGACCCAAACACATCGATGCCATAAGCGAACACCAAGCTGGTACTCTCCACAACTGCCGGCGCGGCAATGATCTTCTGCACGCCAATTACGTCCCTCTCGTGGGTGTGAACGCTCTTGGGGTCAATCTCAATGGCGGGGTGGTACTTGATCAAGCCTTCCTCGGCCTCGGCGGCGGTAGGGTCACGGCCAACAGGGCGGCGGGGCTCGAGGACCATGCGCGGGATACCGACGATACCGTGATTCTCCGGGAGGTAAGCCAGTACCTGGCGAGAAGTGATACCCTGTCTGGTCTGCGTGACCTCCAGCGCGGAAATGGGAGCGCTGAGAATGAAGGTTTGAGAGACGACCGAGGGCAGAGGGACGTCACCCGGAGCATCGATGGGCCCAAGAGAGGAGAAGTTCTCGGCGTCACCAAGGACACCTCTATCGTTGGGCTTGTCTGTCTCGTAAAGGTCGGAGACGACGATCTGGTATCCCTTGAGAGATTGGGCGCCGTCTCTGAGGCGGTACTGGCCAAAGTAGGTGCAAGTAAACCAGTTCTCCGCCATGGCACACTCAATGTGCTTGTTGGGGTCAACACCCTCGTGTTTGGAGGAGGCCAAGATCTGTCCGGAGACCGTGTCGAGCAGATAGATAACGAGAGAAGGAATCTTGGTACTCTCATCGACTGCGGCAACAACAAGGGTGTTGGGGTTAAGGTACTTGTACTTCACAGTTCGGTCACCGAGGACGCGACCAATGGAGGCAACGGCGTCATGAGGAGGTCTGGCAGCAATGTCGACAATTCTCTGAAACTTAGGCAACACGAAAGTCCAAGAGACGGTTTGCTTTCCGTCAGCAATCGCCACGCCCTTCAACTCTTTATCGGAGCCACGGACCACAGCAACCTGGTTAGGGAGTATGTCAGAGGTCAGGCCTTGAAGTTCACCATCCAAACCAACGGGGAAGAGACGAGGTCCAGAAACGGTGTTGAGAAGAGCAGCGCTCTGGGTCGCAGGAGATCCCTCCGGCCCCTTGCTCAACACCTCTATATTGAACGAGGTACCCGGGAGAATCTTGACAGTTGTCTCATCGTTGTTCGTTCCAAGGATAGTGACAATGCCCGTCGAGTCATCCGCCTTGATTCCAGCAACAGCCCACTTCTGGCCCGTGGGCAGGTCAAAGACCCTCTTGGAAGCCAGGATCTTTCCGTGGTCACCGGCGTCAAGGACGTAGATCATACCGCGCCTTGTAGCCAAAACAACGAGCTTATGGAAGCCAAAGGTGTCCCGGGCAAGCTTAACATCGTGGGAAGAGACCTCAGTGCCAAGTATACTGCTCATCAAGCGGGTAGGAATGTTTTTAAGGTACGTGGGCAAGTACTGGAGATCTTCAAGATGACGCTTGACGCGATGGATGTAAGCCTCGAGAGGGTTGCTGTGAGCCTCCTGTTCCAAAGTCTTGGCGAGGTTTTCACTCTCAGGAATCTCCACGAAAGTGGCCGCAACAGCTCCGGTCAAGCCTTCAGGACGAGACCAGACGACGTCTCCGTTGCGGATAAGAATCCATTCGTCAGTATCTGTAACAGCAGCCGACCTGACGGCATAGCTATCGGTGCCGGCCTTCTTCACAACCTCGGAGACTCCATGAAGGGCAACCAGCCTGGATTCGGTCGTCTTCAGGGGCCATCGCCCGAGCACGGTGTCCGAGGTAGACGAGAAAATGACCAGCTCCTCGTCAGTAATACGAGTAAAGTAGACATTCGCACCGTTAGAGCTGGTGGAGAAAGCGCCGGGTCCAGAAGTGAAAGGGAGCTGATAAGCCTTGGTGATGACGTTTGTCCTAAGATTAACGTGGTACACCTCAGCAGTATGGCCGGTAGAGGTTTTGCTGTGCACCAGAAAATGCGGCTGAGACTGGACAATATGGGGAGCATGTATTTCGACGGAGATAGTGTCGGCGGGCAGGGCGAATTCCTGTCGGGTCTTTTGCCCCAGAACACTGACACGTAGCTGTTGACGAGTGTCGTCGGTCCAAGCAATAATAGGAGCCGCAGAGTTAGCACCGACGAGAATGACATCGTCCTTATCGTGAACATCCGCCTTGGTTCCAAGCACCAGCTCATCCTCGCGCTTCCCGCTGAGGGCATCGAGGATTGTGACTTTGAGGTTGTAGGCGCCGGCAGATCCGCGAAGACTAATGACGAAGACCTTCTCAACATTGGTGCTGACCTGAAGGGGCACGTCACCGGAGGTCTCCATATATTCCCACACAACCCTTCCGTCGTTGCCACTCAGCCTCCTGAGCACAGTCGACTCGTTCTCGTCGAACAAAGCCAGGATATCCTTCCTGTTATTTTCAGTCATCTCCATGACCTCGAGGTCCTTAACCTCCCCCGCAAAATCCATCCAGAACTTATTTCTCCCGTTCACGGCGTCCCACGCGTGTACCGACTGGCCGTAGGCGCTGGCCAGCCAATTTTGGCCTTCGCCCGCGCGCAAGAAGCCGCCGCCGTCCGTAATGGTGCCATTAAGCAGTTGTCGCCAAAGGATGGCACCGCTGCTGGGATTAACGGCGCCGAGCACGCCAACGTCGCTTAGGGTATAGAGTAGGCTCGCCTTGTCGTCTCGCCTCGGCTTGTGGAAGAAGGTAGTTTCGCGTTGGGGGAGGCCCAGGAGCTCGTAATGGTAGTCGATGTGGCCGACCTCATCCTGGAAGACAGCACGCACCGCAGATGGCAGCGCGACCAGGAGGAGCGCCGATAGCTGGGTCGGGAGGTGCATGTCGATTTGGCCCGCGGCCAGGAATGTTGGGAATTGATAAGTTGGAGAAGTGCAGTTACGGAAACGCGATCGCCATTAGCATTTGAGTGGCTTGAAAGTGTCGTGGCAAAAGCAATCGATTTTGTTGACGATGCTTGACACAAGCTCGAATTGGGCAGCAGAAAAACACCGACCCAGTGTAAAGAGACAGATGACGCGAGAGGACAATTGGATGGAGCTGCCTGGCTCCTCTCAATGTTGGGAAGACAGATTGTGACGTTGAAACAACCTTAGCTCTCCCCTGTAGGAGTCGTAGCACCTGAAAGCGTCAAGCGGGGTCCCCGAACTCTGAAGGGCCCGGCGCTCCCCTGGGCTGTCCAGAGCTCCCCGCTGCTGTACTTGTGGATCGCCATCCGGATCCTTGGCATCTCCATAAACATTCACATTGGATCCAGAAAGGGAAGCTTCCGTTCAAGGTGACACCGCGATATATACGGTCTCTTGTTACATATTTGAGTTCGCTGCTGACGCGCTGCAATAAATTCACCCTCCTGAAAGTCTAATATGCACCGTCCGAGATCAGCACATTTAATAATCCCAAGCCACAGACAACTTGGTTGCTAGGTAGCCACTGCCTAAACCGAGTTAGTTCGTAAAAGTTCGCCATACGCCTAGCACTGCCGACCCAAACCACAGATACAATAAATCAAGAACCTAACCCTAATGACCGATAACATTGACCGCTCGTTCAGAAATTCAACTAGACACCTTAAAGCATTGTATGAGGTGTTACATCCGAAGAATCTAGAACGTTGGGTGTACAAGCCCAAGAACATCCTCTTCGAAGGAAAGGCACCCATGCCTCGTCTTCGCGCCCGCTGATATTCCTGTGTCGAATGCGCGCTTCCGTTGTACCCTCGGCACTTGTCATTCTTTCAACGGTCGTGCTCCGAATCTCGCGAAACTCGATCCACTCAGTTACCGGACAGAGTGTCTCCCGCTTGCAAACCGTGCAATGCTGGCCACCCATTTTATCCACGACAATGGCACGCTCCAGCGGATCAGCAAGATGTGACGGGCATCCGTCGCTCCTTAGGAAATTGGGTAGTGACTCTGCGTCCTTGGACCGTGCGGCAACTCGCATTGCTGTTGCGAGGAGCGATGATGGGCCTTTGGGTTGAAAAGACCGCTTCGAATCCCCCAACGATTCAAGATGTTGCTTAACTGTTTGCGGTATGACCAACGACCCAAAGTCTTCTGTTTCAAGCTGCTTCGAACTATCCGTGAGACGCTGAGTTTTCTCGGGGAAAATGAACTTGCTGAGAACGTGGCCGGCACTGTTGGAGAATTGGACCGGTGTGCGGGCTCGTAGCGCCGTAGTGAAGAGTGTGAAGTTTTCGCCCCGGTCCCGGTCTACCAAGAATCCATGAATCCCACTCCCTCTTGTGCGATATTCGTACTCGTGTTGCATCAAGTCATCGGCCAAGAAGTATCGCCGGTCTTTTGGTTGGAAAAAAGAATTAGGGTGGATATTCAGAGTGTGAAACCCAATGGCACTCTCCATTAGGTCTATCAGCTCTCCTGGTAAATGGCGTAACCGATTGTTGGCGATGTTGAGGGTTGTCAGGTTCTTCAGCTTTGCAATGGCGGGCGGCAGTTCGGCCAGCTTGTTGTTTCGAAGGCTGAGTACGGTTAAGTGCTGGAGGTCGAGGAGAGCGCTAGGAAACCTCGACAGCTGATTGTTTCCCAAAAATAGTTTAAGGCTCGGATCTCTGGGTACAAATGGAACATCTTTTTCCACGACAGGGATCGGGGTCAGGCCCGCAAGAGGTTCAAGAACGGAGTCGGCGATCGAGGCCAAACCCATCTGGCTACCAAAAGTTAGCTTGTCCTCTTCCACAATGACTGTTCGCGAAAGGGGTAGTGCCGCAGTGCGTTGACCTCGCTGGCTCACCTCAGGTCGACGTCTTCTCGACCATCGTCTACACATGCCAAGACAACATTTTGTGCGCGTTGCTCTTCTGAACTTAATCTCGGTATACGCTTGACGACTGGGAGAGGGAGAGGAAGTCGTGCAGCAAGTGGCGGCAGATCGATATCACCATCGGTATCGGTTGCGGCGTCTTGGCCGACCCAGACGCCGCTGTCGGGTTGTCGCTTCAAGTGACGCTTGTGCCGAGGATTTGATGATGGACCGGGATCTGCATCGTCACCCATGACAGAGTCGGAGGATGCCGGTACTTGGTCGAACCACGAGCCTACGTATCTCCTCTTCCGCCGCCCTTGCAAGTAATTGTCCAAAGCGGGATCATCGTCGCTCGAAAAGTATGCAGGGTCACTAGAGCTGCTCATACCAGGCGAAGGAGGAGGAGGGGCATAGTAGCCACGGGACCGCTTGCGTACCCCTGGGACATTTGTGATAAAGGCGGGCAGTTCGTCTGGAACTGGCAAAGACGACAACGTGGGCTCGTCTACCTCCATGACGGAAACCCTGCCGGTGTGATTATCGTGATGATATCGATAAAACGGATTGGCCGAGGAATGTGAATCGGATTACCCAACAGATACCAGTATGTGGTACAAGCACAAGGTGGGGGAGGGGGCAGCCTGAATCAAGTGCCCGTTACCATACGCAAGCTGATATATGGTGTGAGACAAGGGTGAGGAAGAGCATACAAGATTGGACAAGATGTGGTTGACAACTGCAGTGTCTCAGACAATTGACAGCGGGAAGTAAAAAAGTGTCGGCACCACCAAGAAGAAAACGGACACTGGAAAAGGTTGTTTCAAGCTGTGATTCCGTGCTTTCGGGTCGCTACGCTGATTTGAACAAAGCAGCTGCAGATGTTGATACTTGACGAAAGAAGAAAGGAAGAAAAGAAACGGTGAGTGATTGTTCCATGGCCTCTGAGCTATATGTAATTACCAGTAAAAAACAGGCACAAAGTCCATGCGTGATGCCCGATCGAGGCAAGACTGATTTGGTAACTTTCCTTCCAGAACTGACGCGTTTCTGCGCATTTAACTGCATTCCCCTTGGATACCTTCAACGCGCTTCGAACGATAAACATGGAAACGCGTTTGCAGAGATCCGAGCTTCCTTACAAGTTCTGCCCCACATGTACCCCACATATCGATACATGTAGAGCCCCACTGATGGTGTTAGACAAACGTTAAATACAATACAGAAATGTAGCTCGTGCTTTCGTGATTTCAGGCTCGAGTCCTCAACATGGTGCTGGGTGCCGTCGCCTCCCTCCGCTATCATCATTTTGGTTTCGGTTACCCCGACCGTGCTCCATTTGTGCTCCGCGTGCGTCGGGCTCCTTTCCGGCGCCACGGTGCCTGTTCCCGTCGGCTGTTCCCGCGCACGCACCTCCATTGTTGCAATCCCCTTGACCACTTGTAACTGAAAACCCTGTAAAGGTGATAAAGGGCTACATAACTTGGATGCTTCAGTAGAGACTGTCGGCTGATCTCAGTCGTCCCTCTCAATCTTCGCTATAGGGCTGCTAGGAGATTCTGGCTTTACTCCTACTTGCGGCGATGGCTTTCGTGCAGACGTGTAGATGTAATCGGTCAAGCGAGCAAGCTCTTCATCATCGGAGGAGTCGAACTCGTCCTGATAAGCATACTGTTGTTTGCCAGATGCCTGGTTTTGAGGCTTTGCAAGTACTTCCACCTGCTTTGACGAGCCTTCCTCCGGTCCTGCCATGTCAGATACCTGCGACGACATATCCGAGACCAGATCGACGACAGTTTGAGAAGAAAGAATATCTGCGGCCGTCTCGACGAACCTTGACTTTGTGTCCTTCCCAGGGCCAGGGGCAGAGTCAATGGAATCGGCGGCCGCGGCGTTGCTGACAGTTGGAGCGACAGGTACAGGAGAGAGTGATCTTTCGGGCGTGAATTGACCATCTTCAGTGAGGTCTATGGCCATTTCTGCAGCTCGAGCTGGTCCAGCCTCGTGTTCTAGCCCCCGTGTTCCTGGCCTTGCTATATTCGCTGGGTGCCGTTCAGGCGCTTTCCCTTTGTCCAGCTTCTTCCCATCGTGATCACGGTCGGAGGGGCGTCCCGTGGGTTGTGTTCCGGGTAGCGCTCCCGTGTTCTGAAGTGCTTTGCCGTGTACGTCTTCACGGTAATCGCATGGTCGTTCCGCTGCGTCTTTTCTATCGCACTCCATCCACTGTTCCTTGAAGTTAAAGGGATTCAAGCACTTCTTGACGAGTCGACCCATTGTACACTGCGGGCAGATGGCCTTTTTGGAGGGCGACGGTGGAACTGTAAGCATGGGGTCTGTGTTCCAGATCTTGTAATACGTGCAACCCTTTCTCTCTTTGTCGCTGCAGCTGAGTCGATACTTCCCGGCAATGTTCTGGTTGGGATGGTCCAGGCTGATTTGCTTCCTCACGAGATGGCCGAAGCGGCATTCCGGGCAAAAACCATATTTCCATTTGGGAGTTTTCCCAGATCTCCCGGTGCCTGTGCTGCCAGTATTGCTACTCTGTGATGGCTTTGGCTTTCCTGGAGTTGACGGCACTGACTTGGTCACCCGGCCGCTGATAACCCCGGACTGCGATGGGCCTCCTGCCAGACAATCAGCTTTTGTCATGATTACGCCAAAAGTTACAGGGAGCATACTGACCAGGCGCCATGGTTAGAAATCTCCACACGCGTTAGTTAAAGTTCAGAAAAAGTTCAGAAGGTTGGGCGGTTTGGTATTGAGATTGATCTGAGGAAGTTTCAGGTCTGCGAGGGGTAACGAGCTGAAAGTTTATAACGAACGACCTTTCTGCCTCGTCTTCCTTGTATGCCTTGATGGCGCACCTTGAGCCCAGCCTCAACTACCGACAGGCCAATCCAAAGGTCCGAAGATTGAGGGCATAGCGAATAGCTTGATTACACGCATGAAGGCGCTTAACCGACCCAATATCGCTATTGCAACCCATACCTGATATGTGTCGAAGAACAAAATCTGATTACCGGTTGCTCGGTGAACGGGCATGCTATGCACACAGAGTATGGGAGCGGGGGGAAACAATGGCTCTCTTTCTTGGCGTTACGATAGGGTCCCCTCAACAGTCCCACCATCCACAGTTATTGGTGAGGTAGTTGATACACTAGATGGACTTCCTGGGTTGGGGTAGAGGAAGATAAGCAGTGCCCGTTGAGGCTTACTCCGCTTTCAGACTTCGATTGACGAGATGATTAAAAACTCCATGGCAGAAAGGCACAACAGCGGGGATCCTGCAGATGGATAAGATTCCAAAGGATTTAGACACCTAGGGTATGTGCCTCTCTCAAAGGCTTCCCGAAAAGGCACGGGACAGGGTTAGGGTGGCAGACCTCAACCAAGAGAGAATACAAGATGAGCCGGAAACTGAAAGCGCCCGTCGGTCATCTTCGGACCGTGCGCTTGGTGGACACTTTTCTTAATCAAGGTGTACCATTACACCATTGACACGTTTTGATATCACTATACATATGTCAGCTCAACACCTTTGATGAACCTGCCTATAAATAGAGAGGAGGGCCAATGTGAGAGAAGTCAAAATCAGCTGTCGAGCCTCCTCGGGTTAGTGCCTCGAATTAAGTTTGATGAACTCCTGCTACAGGGTTAAAGTCAGAGTATAAGGTCTGGCAACGACCATCTCGAATTATTTGCAACCTTGGGGACTTTGGCATTGGAGCATCTGCTCCGATTAAAACGTCTAGTGATTATTATGTCCAGTGAATCGTAACTGGTACGCGGCGTCGTGTGGCACCGGCGTACATTCGGAGGCCCCTAATTCTTTTCGTGTGGCTTTTCTCCCGGGTCGGGCACGCTGAGTTCAACCTCGAAATGGTATCGTATCTCCTCGCTCGGACGGCCGTGATGATACAAGGAGATGTGGCGTATTGTGTCGCGCCCGGCTTAGTCCCAGTCATCGTCGTCCTCTTCCTTGTGATCAGAGGTGCTTCTGATGTTCTTGCTAAAGAGCTTCTCCTCCTCCGCATCCTGAACCTCCCTCCTTCTCTTGGCAACCCGCATGTCATTGTCAGGAATCGCCCCAACATCGACGAGTAGCTTATCGATGTCCAACATGTTGGTCTTGACACCATGCATTGTCATGAGCGTCACAACCTGTTTGACAATATCCCCCTTGTTATAGACCAAAATCGTAGGACAGTTGCGCTCAGGGTAGTTTTCGATAGCTTGCGACGCTCTCATTTCGCAGAACTTGATGTCGCCGTACTCCCTTGCTGCCTGGCGCCACAGCTCTGACAGAACTCTCGACTCGACGTTGGTGCCCAAGGAGGAGGTAAGGAGGACAAACACTGGTCCGTTCTGTGACGCATCGGTGACTTCGCGGGAGTATTCGGGCTTGGATAAGGGGTAGACGCTACCGTGTACCGACTTCTTTTGCAGTGCGCTGAGCTCCTTCATCCTCTGCTGGCGGTAAATCTCCAGGAACTCTTCGTCCTCCTCGTCTTCAAGTTCGTCAAGCTCGTCCAGGTCCTTGCCTTCAAGCCTGTTCTCGTGTGCAAGTCGGCGCGCCTCCTCGATAGCTTCCTGGATCATAGGCGTCGGGCTAGGGGGCTTCTCGGGGATAACACCATGCTTGCGAAGGATATCGTTCCTACAGAACTGTAAGCGCGCCTTGACCGCGAGGATGTGCCTCTCTGTCTCTCACCATTCTGTGTCGGCGTTGGGGTCGTCGATAGGAACAGCTATGCGCTGGTCTCCCGGGGCGGCCATCTCGAACGTGCGTGGCGGTCGAGGGGTATTGTCGGCTTGAAGGAGGGGCGAATTTGCGGAGTGTTTGGGAAAATGCCGATGATGCTCACGGGGCCGGAGCTTGTCAAAAAGGAATGGGCCTGGAATCTAAGGGGTAGCCGGCACGCAACTGTGAACTGGTGTCGCGACCTTGGTGGTGTAAAGGTATTTGTAAGAAGAACGGTTGCTTCGGACGGAGATGTCGCTTTGCGATTCGAAATGTGACCCCTTTGGAGCTGTCTGGCCTCGCTGGCATGTCCACTAGAGGTACCTTACGCGGGCGGTCTGCTCCTCTGTTGACATCCCCATCTCATCACTGCCCCGCCTTGTCCGCCAGCCCGCCCCAGTCCAGTGGGCCGCCCCCGGGAATCCATGCAGCGTCACAGCGAGAGCCTTGCTCCCCCCACTGAACGAGCCTTTGAATCGCCCAGCGAAGGTGGCAAGTCTGGGCTCCACTTTGACAGCCAAGGTCTGTGCAGCAGGGCTTCTAATTGGTTACAAAAGCGAGCCCTAACTGTCGCCTGCCAAGCCTAGCCACTTTTGCGTGTGCTCCTCACAGACCGAAAATTTGCCTGAACTTTTGTGTCTTGCTAGGTTCGACCTCCCCTCTTTTTCAACCACCAACGAGCACAAATCTGCCGCCAATCCCACCAGATTTCATCATTCAACCGAAAGCTCGTTGTCTCGACATCGAATAATCAGTCAAGATGGTAAGACCCTGCCATTTTCGATTTTGCAGTTTTGGCGATGGGGACGGATTTCTGGGCCATTTTTCTACGACGGGAAATGTGCATCGACACGGACGGAAAAACGGGTGGAACAGCGGTGGAAATCGAAAACAACGATTACAGCGGACATCTGGGCGAAAAAGGACGCCGAGGAAAGCGCTGGATTTGATGGAAATGGGGTTGTTTCGATGTTTAAACATAGGCTGTGATGCTGACAGTTTGATTTCTCAAGGTTCTCGCCGTTGATCTCCTCAACCCCAGCCCGGCTTCCGAGGCCCGCAAGCACAAGCTCAAGGTATGCCGCATCGATCCCCGACGATATGAATACATCACGGCCTCCTAGCCGCGACATGATACTGACAACGCGTCATAGACCCTTGTGCCTGCCCCCCGCTCCTTCTTCATGGACGTCAAGTGCCCCGGCTGCTTCACCATCACCACTGTCTTCTCCCACGCCCAGACCGTCGTCATCTGCCAGGGCTGCACCACTGTCCTTTGCCAGCCCACCGGTGGTAAGGCTCGCCTCACCGAGGGCTGCTCTTTCCGCCGCAAGTAGACGGATCGAGGGTCGGTTCTTTTCTTCAGCATAACGGCGTGGTAATGGGGACATCTTGGTATCTGCAAGGCTTCTGCCAGTCGGGCGCATAGAAATATCATACTCGATCGTCAATCAATCTCGTTGCGGACAGAAGATGGATTCGCCAGAAGATGTACCTCGCGCGCACAACAAAATTGGGAGGGCGTTTAGGGGTCCGGATATCTTGCATCATCCTCGTCTTTCTCGATCTTTGCGCGCGTTTTCTGCTGGTGTCTTGACGTGCAGGCCGGTTAGCCTGCTTGGGTGGATAGTCGGAAAAGGCACATGTTTTATGATTGCCCCGACTTACGTGCCATGGGCGGATGGCATTTGACAAGCCGCGATGCGGATTGCTTTGGTTGTTTCCATACCTAGCGCAGTGGACAGGCTATGGGGAGGACACTGCTCCGGTACGAATCTACGAGAATCCACGACACGTGTCCTACCATTTCCTGTTGTGATGTATTGTGATATCTCTGTTTTAAGCCGGTGTATGTCCCGCTTATGCCTCCCATGTTGTCTTTGACGAAATAATGTGTAGATGTATAGGGTCAAATAGCGGTCTGGAAAGTAGGTTGGGGAGGTGTTTATAGTGATGTCTCTACTAGAGTTGTGAATTACGACAACAATCGCAGCTCTGCTATAAATCAGTCGAAATCGACGGTAAGTCTTGTTCAGTCCGATGAGCCAGCCCGTCACAAGTGTCCATTATGCTGCTGGTTCCCGTACCGCAATGCTATCTGGCATTGTAAGCTTCATTCATTGCTTCGCCGACATGGTTTAAAGCACAACTGTTAACGGCTCAAGCCACACTAAGAGTCGAGGCGCAAATGGCCACCTGCAGCCCGTCTTGCAGTTTATCGATGAAAGAGAGCTATCAACCACCAGACGCACGTATGACCACTTGAATGAAGGATCATGGTAAAAGATACAACCTGTCCAATCAACGCCTTTGTGACAAGATCAAGTTTAAGTGTAACCAGCCGAGAGAATGCCAACCCAGGCGAGAACATCATCCAACAGTGACGTTCGGAGACAGTTGTCCGGCCCTGCTCGCTGTGCCTGTTTGGGAATGGCATGTGGGTTTAGGGAAGGCCTGCTTCTTATCATCGACTTCGGCCGCCACTAGCACCCCACAATAGTACAAACTATGGCAATGGCCTTTGATCAGAGCTTTCGAACATAAATAACAAACGAAACTGGGCTTCCTTACATCCTCACCATCGTCATATCCCCTTGCCGTTGGCGTTGAAGCCCTGCGGTGCCAGGCTCCCGGTTCTGGCCAATAAGGGCGGAGCTGGTCTCGTCTACGGCGGTCGGCAAAGGCAACTTGGTCGTGAAGTGCTCGTCAAGGTCCTCAACGTCAAATGCAAGAGGCCTGGCCAGACCCACATGAACACACCGTGACCCTCCTCATGCGACTGGATCGCTTCCGGCAACCCGACTCGTGAGTGCAGTGGTGAACCCCAAGCCCCAACGACCCAACGGTTGGCTGACTGGCTTGAGTGCTTGCATCTTCAGGGCTCCCCCATATCCTTGTCACACCCCCTTCGAATCACTTCCCACGTCATCTTCCTGCTCTTCCCACCAAAAGGAAACTCTCCCGACACCACCAAACAAACGCTCTTCAATCCCATACAAAGCCTTCAGTCTGATTACGAATTCACATCCGAATTACCTTTCGAGATCCAAACCCTAATCATTCTCCGAACAGCGTCAGATCCAGCACTCGACAAACCAACCAATTCCAATGTCCAACTCCCGAACCAAACGCCAGTTCGCCGGCGCAGCGAGCGACCCGGCCCAACGGTCAATTACCTCATTCTTCAAAACCACACAGACCAGCGATGACTCGCAATTCGACTCTACCAGCGGTGCATCGCCTGCGACGGCCGCTGCTCCGCTGAATGGTCCAGTCCTCTCGCCCACTATCCGATCAAGTCTCCTGAACGTTGGCATGCGCGTGCGCAAGTCCGTCCCGGAGGGCTACAAGACCGGCAAGATTGCCTCAGGGTTTCCCTCCTGGATGGATGACAGTCACAACACCAACAGAAATCATATTGTGGGCTCCGGCGCAAGTGCATTGGCAGGAAACAACGGTCACAACCGTCCAGTATCGGCCGCGCCTCCTGCACCCCCCGCCGCCTCCGCCGCCGCCGCCAGTGCCAACCGGGAACTCACCCCCTTTTGCGGGATCCACAAAATCGGCGGGTACGCCGTCCAAGACCACGACAGCGCTGCTTTGAGCAGTCAAAATTCCAACGCAAGCAGCACCATCAGCAATCCTTCTTCAATCCGCTTTGCGATGACGCAGGTCCAGGATGCCACCAATCGCAAGCGCATCCATGAAGACGGAAGCAGCGAAGAAGGCGGTGCAGGACTCTTCGGCGAGGACATGGATTGGCGTCGTCGCGAGGAGTTTTACGATGACCAAGATGAGGAGAGAGCCCCGCGCAGCTTGGAGCCTATGGCTTGGTGTGGAGGGGGGAACAAGACGAATACTATTGCCAATGACCGCAGGGTAATGGCAGTGCCCAAGAGACGGGGCAGCCAGTTTACTCAAACTACGATCAACTTTGAGGGTTATATCCCTCAGTCTTCTGGTGTCGCCCCGGTAGATGATTTCGAGGAGGCGCCTTTCTTGGATTATGGGTTGAGTCATTATGGGGGAAGAAGAGGGCATATGGATATGGATTAAGTAAAGCCAGGATCCGGCGGTTCCTTGCTTGTGTTTGTTTGATTTCGTGGTGGTGGCATTCTTCTTTTTGCACGCTTATCCTCCTTTATCTCGACCTGGCTTTTACGCCTCGGTGCATTGTTCGCGGTGCGGCGTTTATGGAGTTTGTTATGAGGGGCTGATGCTGGCAAGCATTCGTTTATATGGGAGCAGGAGTATACGCCCCAGTGGCCTTCTCTTTTTTCTGTCAGCCTTTCGGCCGCGTACGGTTCAGTTCATCGATCATTGCCAACAGGAAGACGTCCTCTGTATCATCTATTTTGTATCTATATCGAACCCTCGACAGGACGTGAAGCGCTAGACGAGTCTTGCATACCTATAATCTAGACTAGAGTTCAATTAAGGCCAATCAAAGAATGTTCCATCCACTCCTATAACGTGTGGTCCAAGACAACCATATATGAGTTCCTGGTAAATAGACGGCCAACGTGAAATGCATTTCGTCTCTCATGGATCTTGATTCATCTCCAGAGCCGTCCACATACTCAAGCCGTCCGACTCTGCAAAGGACCGGCGATAAACCCGCGCTCGTTCTCCTACCTCTGTAGAGCGGGGAAAGGATCCCGGAACTCGAGTAGATCTCTCTGGCCATAAAACTCACCGGCGACAGTCAGAATCATGTTCAGTGTCGCTCTCATGTTCAGTCGTTGTCTCGTCAACTCATCTTCCCGTTGTTGAGCTTCAGCGTCAGCAGCAGCAGTATCCTCATCAAGCTGAGCAAGCAATCGTGCCTTCGCAGCCGCGATATTAGCCTCAGCATCGTCTTTTGACGATGCAGCAGGAAGGTTGGGGCCTCCCTCCTCATCATCGAGCACTTCTCCATCATCGATCTCCATGTCGATCTCTCCCCCCTCTGCCTCTTCTTGCTCCTGGCGTTGCTCGACCTTAGCCGAGTTGCCCTCGTTCCCAGCAACAGCGTTTGCAGCTTTCGAAGAGTCCTCCTCGGTGGTCGATTCAACCACGTCCTTCTCGACTGTTTGGCCCTCCTTCTCCACTCTCCCACCACCCTCATTACTCGTATCCGGCTCCAACTCGACCAAAACCTCCTCCTCCTCCTCCTCCTCTTCGCCATCATCATCTCCAATCAGCAGCTCCTGCCCCTCCAAATCACCCTCCACCTCTTCCTTCAACGCGGCCATCTGCGCAATGCTCACCATCATTAACACTGCCCTCTTCCCCAGTTCTCTCACCCATCCGATGTCCAGATGATCCATCTCCCCTCTATCCGGCAGTCTTGCCAACAACGCCCATATCCACCGACTCGTGCGCTCTCGCAGCTCGCAACCCCGACGAATGAATTTCCCGCCCAGGATCACACGCAGAAGCTTGAGCGCGCCGAACCGGTCCATGGCGGCCACCTGCGCGGGAACCGGGTCCGTGTAGCGGATCCGGTTCGTCCAGACTCGGAAGGTCCGCGACTTGGGACCAAAGGAGCCGACTTGGTAGCCGTGGTCTTTGTCGAGCGCGGCAAGGAGGGAGGAAGGGGGGGTTTGGTGGAGCATGGAGCGGAGCGCGGAGAATTGGGATATGAGGGAGGCGAAGTAGGCTTCGCGGGCGAGGTGGCGGTTGGTGGTCAAGAGGGCGTGGGCGCGGGAGGTGTTGCTTGACGAGTCGCTGGAGGAGTCTTCATCATAGTTGGCGCCGCCGTAGCCGTAGTTATCGTAGTTATCGTCGTCTTCGGGGACGGGCTCGACGAGATTGTCAGGGGTGGCTGTGTAGGCGCCGTCTTGGTAGTAGCCACGGGAATCGCCGAGGCCGTCGCGGTAGATGCTTCTGTCCACGTTGCTTGATGAATTATCCAAGAGGTACGGCGGGAGCTGCGGCCCAGCTTTGGGAGCTACGAGGAGGTGAGGTATGCCGTGGGCCTCTTGTCTGTGTCACTTACCATTGTCAGTCATCATGGTCTGCAGCAATTGGGAGAAATTGAGATTGTTTAGCCTAACGGATGTTTCTGCAGAGGGAGGGGAGGTATGAGTATCCAGGGAGGGGAAGCTTACCGAACAGAACGGAGATAGGCGAGGGCATCGACTTGGTCCTCGAATTCCAGGTCTTCGTCGCTGAGCGTAGCAGGTTCGTCGAGGCCAGGGAAGGCGGCGCGTTGGCCGTATGTAGAGTCGGTCTTTGGCTCCGTTGATTTGGATTTGGCAGAGGAATGCTCTTTCCGCCGCTTGGCTACGGGTTGCGGTGCTGGCTCATCGTTATCAGAGTATGTGAGGGCATCGTGGTGTCGCTTGGGGCCCATGACTTGTTGTCGAGATGGCTGCTCTGCGCGCCAGTTTCAGCTATGACTTGGTTAAGGTGAGACAGTGTCGCCGAGTATGATTCGTGCTGCACTGATCAAGTAGTTCGGATGTGGTTATCGTGCCAATTGAAGGCTGGGATGGAATTTGCTGGAGGTTGCAAGTGGAAGTCGGGGTACTTTGTTGTTACGACGCGTCTGGCATAACGAACAGTGACGAGACGAGCGCTGCTGAACTCGCCAGGGGATCCACTTTGTATTGTCCATGTATGATGATTGGTTGCACTGGCTTAGTTAGCATCTGAGAGCGAACTCGGTGATGGAGGTGCTTCTCACCAAAAAAAAAAAAAAAAAAAAGATAAAAAAAAATAAAATTTTGATTTTTTTTTAATAAATAGATAAATGAAAAGATAAAGATGTTCTCTAGGGATGTAACATACATAGAGGGTGAAAATGATACACTTGGACGCGAATCGGAAGGCAAACAATAAATACAACTGGTTAAGCGGTGGTTGTATACGAAGATTATTAGGAGGTATGCTTGTTCTATTCCCCAGATCTTTTGTATCTACAGTCTTACAAAAGGACGTTATCGCTGATTATAGTACCAGGCAGTACTTGATTTCGAACAGTTCTAGTTCTACATACCAGGAAGGGAAGTCACAATACCTGCCAACGTAGAAAGAACCGTGACCATTCGCTTCGTGGATTATAATAAGACCGCTAATTAAAGACTACTGCAAATCCTTATTCACCCTCCTTCCCTCCACGCACTCTCTACCGGTGCGCAGGATCAAATGTAGCGGATCAGACAGAAGATCCAATCCTTCCGGTCGCCTTTTGGTCCCTGGCTCCCATTACGAGCTTTGATTCGCCTCTACTTGACCTCCGTGAAAACATTCGTTCGTTCGTTCTTCATATACGCATTATCCTCTTGAACGTGCGACATACATAAACATAACCATAAACACAACAGAACCAGATCTCCATGCAGTGAAGAGAAAGCAACAACCAGAGGAAGACGCATCACTATGTGAACAGGGCAAGCTTGAAAAGGAAATTCCTCTGATGGATGATGGTTGGGAAGCGCGAAATGAACCAAGACGTGACGGACCCGAGAAGCGTATCATAAGAGATGATAAATGCAAACAATCACAAATCATGAGAAAATCAACGGGTAGATGTAGCTTGCCAGAGGCCATAGGCGGTTCTACAGACCCGAGGATGCCACCCCTCTTGTGCCTCTCGTAATTTGGAGGATGCCATCCCTCTCGTGCCTCTCGTAACTTGGAGGATGCCATCCCTCTTGTGCCTTTCGTGACTTGGAGGTTGCCATCCCTCTCGTAATCTAGAAGGGGCCGACCTTCTCGTTCCCACAAGCGAACAGGTTGACGTGATAGTCCCCGCGAGCAGCGCAACCCAAAACCATCCGATGAGGATGGAATGCAGTAGCAGAGATAGGCGTGCCCTTGTGGCCTTGGAGAAAGCTGGAGTAGGGCTCGATCCGGGTCAGCTCATGGCCATCAAAGTCAAAGACCTTGACGAGATGCGCCGAAGTTCCACTATATAGCGTCATGCGAGTTAGTTATTGTAATCAGTTCCGCGTATGATGATCAAGGGTGGGGAAACCTACACAGCAAAGACAGGCAAGTGTTCATGGGTGCTTGCCGTCCTGAGTACGTCCTTGGTGGTCTGGAACGATTTGAGCGGCTGGTCCATACGGATATCCCACAACCGGATCTTGCCGTTGCGGCTGGCCGACAACAGTTCTCTCTGTCCACCGCGTTGCATGTGCACCGATCGTACCCACTGCCTTTTCTCGTCCTTCCATTTCCGAACCATGCTCTCCTGCGGCTTCATGCGAGTATCAAAGACTCTGATCGCCCCGTCGCCAAATCCGGCGACAAAGATGTTGCCTGTCATCTGATCTGACGTGAGCGAAGTAACGCAGGAGCCGGATCGTGCTGGAATTTCATGGGTACACATTTCATGACCGGCATTCCAGATGCGAATGACCCTCTCATCCCCGGCCACGAGCACCTGACCCTTGACCTGTTGCCAGTCGAACACCATGCCCGAGTTGACGTTGGACGGAACCATGTGCGTCAGAGCGCGCCAAGCTGATGCCAGCTCGATGTTCTCATTGCTGTCGTAATTCCGGTAAACGCGGATTACACCGTCTGATGACCCCGTCATCAACAGCGCTTGATCGTCTTCGTTGATGAACTTCATGTCTGAGATCTTGGAGCCTTCTGGGTTGCCGTTGGAGAAACGACTCTTCCGGGCACCCTGTTTCCAATCCCACACGTTCACTGTATTCCCGTCATCTGCGACGGCCACGTAATTCTCAAACTGATGGAAGCTGAGTTTGGCCGGTTGTGAACCATTGTTAATGACGCCGATTTGGTCATTCCACTTGTGGGTTCGCGCATGCGTCTTCTGGGGCTGAGTCTCTCTCAAAACGGCCTCGTTGCGTGAACGCCGCCAGAGGCGTTCGTTGTACTCGTGGCTGCCAGGCTCTTCGGCCTCCGATGCTTTCATCTGCGGCTCGCGGAAATACTCTATGGACCAGTCCAAGAACGTGCTTACCAATGGTAGGCTAGGCAGGTCTTTCATGCTGCGCTCTTTATAACCAGCACATGACGGTTCATTGGCAACGTGGTAGTTTGCTGGTGAAGTAGCCTGATCATTTTGCTCAGGCGGCGCAGAATCCAGGCCCGGACCTTTTCGGCTGCTTCGAGATCCACTTCTTTGTAGCCCAGGGGACAGTGGCGGAATCGAGGTTGAAGAAGGGTCCAGGGTCCCCATGAGGGGGCCAAACAGGTAACTTGCAGTCCTCTTGAGAAGGCCTGGCGAAGGCAATGGCTGTGCGACTGCAGCGTGAGTGCCGGCAGCGGCGCTTCTCTGGCTCATATCACCCCTCGACACTTTTCTAGAGCGCCGGAGGATCTCGTCCATGAGATTTTGCGTTTGCGTTGTAAGTGGTGATTGGAGAAGTGCATTGTGAACATAATCCACGATGATGGTGGCATCTCTTTGGGTTTCGGGATGTGGATCCACGCTCAAGATGTTGATGTGTTTCCAGCAGGCAGCGAAAATCGAATCATGCGCTACACCAAATGCTGATGGTTTGATACTGCCATCTCTCTCCCGGTTTTCTCGGCGAGTATAGTGTAACCCCATTCTGTGATCTTGGCCATCCTCTGGCGGAGGCGAAGCAAGATAATCCTTCTCCTCGGATAGTTGCTCGAAGGCGGCAACCAGGAACTTGCTCTCATAACGCAGAACGAAATGAGAGAAGAAGACTAGAAGCTCCTTTCGGACAATCGGGCTGCCGTCTGTAGCCAGTTCAAGCATGGTCCAGGCAACGCTTTCCTCGATCCTCGCAACTTCGTCCGTGAGATCCGGGATTCCTAGGAACGTGGTCATAGCATGCGCCATAGCTGCCCGTACTTCAGGGTTGGGGTCCCTACTAAGGTGGGAGAGCTTCGAAGTGGCGTTCTCCCGAATGCCCCTCCATTTACCTTCAGGAAGGTCCTTCCAGAGCTGGCTGATGCAGAGGCATGACCATTGCTTCAGGAGGGGGCCTTCTGGGCGTGCAATATGGTACAGGCAATAGGTCATGATGTCGGTTGAGTTACACACAAGCTGTCCAGGTTTATAGTCTTTGCACAGCATAGCCAAGATGAAAGCACACATCGCCTTGTGCTCATCCAAGAACCCGACGCTAACCATGGAGAGGGTATCTTGCGGCTTCATTATGGCCGCGAAGTAGTTGTACCCACTATCCTTGATAAGGTCTTGCTGGCATGAGATATCGACCGCAAGAACGCGAGTCCAGATGAACACCATGACTGGCTTTAGGTCTTGTGCCGCCGACTGGAGGAGCTTCAAGACGTACGGGAAGATGCCAATGCTGAGCGCCAGTTGCACTGCCCAAGGGCCAAGGTCCAAGAACCTTGCCAGTAGGACCAGAGCTCGTACTCGATGCTGCTGACTTAGCAACACCTGCAGAACCACTGGAAGCTGGTCAGGTGGCTTCTGGGACAAAGCATCCCCTCGGGTCAAGTAGATCTCGAATGCTGTGAGCTGCTCCGCGAAGAATGACGAGTTGATGTACTCATACTCTATCCCCTCACTCTCCTTTCTCTCGAGGGCCGGCAACTGGGCAAGAGCCAGATCGACGGCCAAGTCCCAGCTCTCCCAAAGGGGATGCTGACGTGTATCTGGCAGCTCGGGATACGACTGGGGATGGCAGTTGTACACAGGCATGATACGCTGTGCGAGGAGAAAGTTTCGGAAAAGAGCGGCAACCATCAAATCTTGCCTAAAGAATTTGCGGAAGAGATGGCGTGGTAGCGTGGTCCATGCAATGGTATCTGTGATGGCAGTGAAAATCCAGTTGAGCTCTCCGAGAGGCGTCCGGCGCTCCTGAAGCCGCCCTGGCAGCTTCTTGGCTCGCTCAGGAGATATTTTGGTTTTTAGCGGATTTTGCAGACAGAAGAACCAGAGTGCCATCTCTATAGGGGTAGTCAAGCAACAAGTGAAGAGATCAGCAGGCAGGTCGGGGTTGGTTGGCAGATTCTCCTTGACATTGCAGGCTGCCAGATGGATGTAGGGACGGAAGTTGATCTTTTCGTGATTTGGGTCCCGTTGTGCCGCCTCCTCTTCTTCTTGCTCGTGCTTCTCGACAAAACGGTGGTAATTGGTGAGGATATTGCCTGCCTCGGAGCAATCCCACACATATATTGTGGGCGCTTGCAACCATTGCTGAAGGTCATAGAGAGAGACGGGGATATACTGCGTGTAGTTCTTGTTGAAAACCCAGATTTCTCCCGAGGCTGTTGGCTTGGGCACTCCATGCCCATTGTAATGGAAGAGCACACGCTCGTCCTTGGCACTTCTTCGGAGGGAGACACTGAACCGCTTGGTCTCTTCGATGGACGGGTCTAGATACTGCTTGTAGCGCGTCCGAATAGCAAGGGTCTCATATTGAGATTGCAAAGCTTTGCCGATATTCTCCAGTGCCTTGGAAACAGGAGGCACCGTCGGATCTTGCCAAGCCTCAAGCCGGGCACCCGGGGTGGTGCGAAGTTGATCTGGCGGTTCCACTCCTATGTTCAAGCATACAGCTATCGCAGCAGAAACTGTTTTTAGGCGATCGCGCATACGCCAGTCTTGGATCTCGAAAGCGGGTGTCTTTGGCTTCCCTGTTGTCTCATGTCGCTTATCGGTAAAGTACATGTACCAGCTCTGCTCAGCGCACGGTTAGTGACACCCCAGCCAAAGGCAGAGACACAAATCAACGTACATTTGCAAGCTGAGAAATGACTTCTTCGGACTGATAATGGTCCTCGAACCCATGCCTGGCACCCCAATCATGGTACTCTTCGTCAACTTGTTCGATGGGGCTTTCCCTCTCCAACCGCAGTCCGTATTCGCTCTTGGACCGCGTTAATGGCGCCTTGGCCGGCCGGGCGACAGGCATATGGTCGTCATCATCAGATTGCCCGCCATGCAACGTGGTTCCAGGAGATGTCTGGTTATTGTCGTCGGGGGCGCTTGAGGGGCGTCGAAACATGGGCGCTGGTGAGGAATCGGACATGCGTCTCTGTGTGTTGGATCGAAGTGGCAGCTGGTTATGGGCAGCAGGATGAGAGGTCCCGTTTGTCACGACGCGCTGGTTGCCGTCTTCTGGCCTCTGAGGATGGACTTGTGACATTGTGACTGAACTTTGACGAGCTGGGTTGTTCATTGTGTGGCGGGATGGTGATGTAGCAGTTGATGACGGAAAGCCGGGCCTCGCGTAACGGCCAGAAGCGGGAGTGGGAGCAGAGGGCTGTCTCTGGCCAAATTCTGCGGAGCCGGGGTGGGAGGCGTGAAGAGAAACAGCAGTCATGGTACGCGACTAGATGAGAGCGAAGGTCATGGTCCTCGGAGGGTAGAGTCGGGTTTCCAAGGCCGCGACGAGGCCGGGCAGGCGATGAGTCGAGAACAGAGCAGCGGTGTAACAAGTCTGTAAGTCTGTAAAAGAGCGAGCGTACGGTGATATGGAGGTGATGTCGGCGGCCCAGGTAGATGCGCTATATCAGGCGGCACAGCCAGAGCTGTATTTCCTGCAGAGGAGGGGACCGATCTGAAGGCTAGGGAAACGCAGAGGTTCGGATGCGCGTGGGGTAGGCGTGTGGTTGACTGTCGGCTGTAAACGAAGATGCGTATCTGACCAAGGTAGCCTGGTGGTAGTAGTAGTCGCCCGGTGGCAGTAGTGGTGCCGTCGTGACTTTCGTTGGATGATGCCGGTCTTTACGCTGTAGGTTTGAGAGATGGGATTGGGTCAGTCAGTCTAGCTAGACTTTTATCAGAGGCAGCTGCGTGCGGTAGATTCCCACTGCAGTGGGTGAAATGCGCTTCCGCTTGTGTACCTAACCAGAGCCTACCAATTGTCACTGCCAGCAAACTGCCTGTGTCTCCTCTAGTGTACCGAGAATTTTGCAATAGCAGTTGGTGAGACTTGGGCAATACGAAACAACACGCAACTCCTCCTACTGCTTTGAACTGGCAATGCCGGCCGTGATGATGTCGGCAGAGGGAACCGCTTCCTTGTGTGTTGTCGTGGTGGGTGCGGGTGGTGGTGGTGGGTTGATGCGGGCCGTGGAGCACAGACGTGTGGATTGGATGTGGATGCGCTGCCCATCAGCCATACGCTACACTGGGGTTTCTCAGCTGGGTGCCAAGGCTTCCTTTCCAGAGGGGAGGACTGCGGGGAGTGCCCGTTTCTCGGATACTACCTCTACTGTGTAGTCGTACCCTAGGTAGGTACCTTATCCAAGGTAGAGTGAAGACGGGCAGTGAAGGGTGACCTGTACGGTACGTCGGTAGGTACTACAGGTAGTGTACTAGCCCAGTAGGCAGGCTGAAGGCCTTCTTGGCATCTCCTACAAACATGGAAGCCCAGCGGAGCCATTGTGCCGCCCGAACCATCACGGTGTCACCACAGAAGGAAGCACTGAACGCACATGATGGTGATGCAGTGCACATGGTGGTCCATGCTTTCAGCCTCACCCCCTCGTTGGTACAGTACGCTAAGCTGCATTGCACCGCAACGTTGCCATTCTCCGTGGGACTTTTCATTCATTATCGATATTGCCCGAGTTAAGAAGCAGTTCGTTGACTTGACTCGAGGCCTGCTTCGAGGATCTCACAAATCCATGCGCCGCCTCGGTCTGGATCCGATTCCCGTCGCTAGCCAATCACCTCTTCATATACTGACTGCGCAGGACGGATTATCATCCCGCAGTTTGTCAACGAAGCTTTGCGAACATGGAAATCTCCTCTCGGTTGGCACGTTCTCAACGATCGAGCCGTATGCATTAGTTGTCCTATGAGTCCTCTCAACACAAAATCGGCGAAGCTCACTCGACCGCAAGCCACGCTGCCATGGTATTTGCTAGATATCGGTAGTCGTGCATCATGTCGCCGGCAGACGCCGTTGTTCCTGCTCACCTGCTTGTGTCTTGATGTTGACCACTTCGTTCCGTATCCTAGGATGGTTTAACAAGATGGGATGGGCCGCAGTGGCATTCACACCTGAATATTCAACATAATCTACCTTGGATTTATTGGCTGTGGGAATATGGTTCAAGTTGCATTGATCGTGCTTTTGCATGAACTCCAATTTCAAAAAAATATCGGGTGGAGCCCCGGCCATTGGGGATCGCTGAGCAAGGGGTCTGTGCGCTTCGGCCCTTTGCCGCGGAGCGGGAGCTTCACGTGAAAACGTCCGGAACGGGAGCCGGCCACCCCGAGGACACCTGCTCCAAACAAGTCCAAGCGAGTTTCTGCATTCTGTCACGACATCCAACCAACCCATTCACATCGATACGGACACGGGAAGCCACCTTCTTGGAGATACATATCTCTCTGCATCCGTACGTACCGGGTCCGGTGGCATGTCGATTTGTTCTCCGCATCGGCATCAACTCTTCCGGCCCCTAAGCTTGATGGAAGATGCTTGCAGGAAGCGAGTGCGGGATGGTCTGTGCGTGGAAATAAGAAACATGAAACAACCAACGTTGGGTCCACGCTATCCTGTTGGACCCGAGATATGACCCCAGAGGAATGACACGCTTGAGGCTCAATACATATCCATTGCGGAGAACTTGAATCTCTCCTTGTGCTTTTGGTGTTGGTTACAACCTACTATCCATCTTCATCGTGTTTGTATTTTCAGAACAAAAAAGTACCGTAGAAACGGTAAAACTGACAAGTACAAGGTGCAGGAAACGAAGGGTTAAAGGTCTGTCAGCTGCGTTTGGCGGCCCTCAATGAGTATGTGCGTGGCGGTCGAACACCTTCTACCCTGCATTGTATATCGACATCTTGTCGAGTTTTTATTGTACTTCCTTGTACTTAAGGACCAGAGAGAGAAGATAGCAGTAAAGTTTGGCCGTATAGTTGTCGCAATTCGATCTCATATCAACTTGTTAGGTATGCGATATAGCTTTGCATTATTTCGACGGCCTAACACCATCTACACTACCAAGTTGGACGCGTAAAATTACCACTTGTGTTGAATCATGATGTGCCCGATAAAAGATCAGACCGTTAACTTTTGACACAGTTGGGTCACAGGATGGCGTGGTATTATCCCAAACACTTTGAAAGTCACAACACTATCGGACTTGGAAACAGTGTCGTACCATTGCAGGGCGGAATTGTGGTCTTTTATTGGAGACCGTCTCGCTCCAAACAAAATAAGACCCGGCTGAAGGGTGGTGAGAAATTGCGGTATGTGCTTCGACTGGACTGGACTGAACTGGACTGGAACGTGATTTGGAGGTCGCAACGTAAGTAACCCCGCGCATCTTTTTCCCACGGAAGAGTAAAACTGAAGTATGCGGACAAAGTGCGGGACGGAATGAAAGCACTACTGCTGCCTTCATCTGACTATGCATGTCTTGGGGCAGGTATCAGTATAAAAGTTAGTACTTATACTTTTGCAATGTCAAGCTGTTTACTCGCCGAAGAATGTTGGACATGAATATGAGAGTCGCAGGTGAATACATGACCAGGTAATTACACGTTTAGGTTGCTACCTTGGCAGAAGACCGAAATTGTCTAAGGATTGTAAAGTGGAAGTGAAGTGCTTGCATCAGTGGAACTCCAACAATGGAAGCGTCCGGGAACCCCCCTCCCCTGGAACCCCCTTTGTTCTCTTTCTTCCACAAAGTCTCCGCTTCTTCGCTGGAGGCTGCTGTTCCTAAGCTTTCCATTGGAAGCTTTTGGTGGCCGCTTTGGAAGGTTGCCAGGGTTATGGTCAGATTCCCCATCTCAGCGGGCAGCATTCGCGGCGATGTGGTCCTGACGGAATGGACGGCCATTCACACGGACGGCTGCAGCCTGCATCTTCCACTTGCTGCCGGGCTGCGCTAACATCTTGTCCGTCAGGTACGGATTACCTAGGTTAAGTTAGTATGTATATGTAGCAGCTGCAGGTGCAGCAGATGCCCCTCGCCTGGGTTGCTGGTTCCATTTCATCAGGTTGTGTTAGTTTGTGCATCACACCTGGGCAACCGTAGAGTAAAAGTAAAAATAAAAATAAAAATAAAGGATTGTTCTCATCTCCTCTTGTTGGTTACTACCTATCCGTCCACATCCTGTTGGCGCTTTCTTGGCGGTCCCTCCAATTATCAACAAGTATATGCCGTGGTTCATATCATCATCTCAATCAATAACAGACGCCCTTCTTTTTCGGGCGGCGCATGCCTGTCCGCTGAGTGCTTATGTACAGGGACCCCCTCCCGCCCCCCCTAAAAGGAGAACCCGACCTGGATGAGGATGGAAGAGTGGAAGTGAGTGACCTGAACGCCAAACAAGCTTTTGGGACCCGACAAAAAAAGCAAGACTACCTTACGTTATTTTCGCTGCGTTACAGCACGCCGTGGTGCCATCTTTTTGCCATTTACGAGCATTTGCTAATTGTCAACATCCCCGTCATTTCAATTCAGCAGAAATTCGATCGCTTGTTTACCCCCCGGCTCCACCTCCATTTACAGACGACAGGCCGGCCGACCGATGCTTGCCCCCAGCCATCTCCAAAATCGACGAGCCTTCAACTCCCTCCTCCGTCAGCGTCAGTGAACTTGTCGCGGTCCACGGTTCACGGTCACGGCTTACGGTCACGGTCCAGTGTCTTCGGTGTTCCTGGTGTGCTTTCATTCAGATTCTCCCAGCACGAGCCTCCTGTTTGATTGTAAGCGTCTGCTACTACGCGCGCGCTCGACCCCCCCGCTGTTCGCGCTGGTACGGTACGGTCACGGTCACGGCCATAGATTACCACGACCTCCCTCCCGAACCCCAGAGTCGCCCAATTGCCCGTGCGGCTGCTGTGGGACGCCCTGAGCTCCCAAGTCACGACGAGACGAGCGTGTAAAGACGAACACCGACCTCGACGCTCTCCCTTCGGCCTATCTTTTCCCGACGACCTGAAGCCCTCGGCGAAACCAACTTGTCGCCGCTGCCCCCAAAGGGCGGCCCCAGAGACTAGACATGGCCTTTCTTTTCAAGTCCAAGAAGAATCACGACAGAGGGCCAGGTAGCCGAGATGGTATTCCGGGGTCGGCTTCGTCAACCCAGAGCGCGACTGCGCGCGTCAGGGACGAGAAGGGCTCCCGATCAACACCTACCGGTAGCTTGAACTCCCTCGACAATGACGGTAGCGTA